CATAAATCCAACACACTGTGTACCGAAATGTGTAACACAAAACAGTGGAAAATGGAACAGAGCAATTTATTATTTTTTATTATTAAGTGCCCTAGCATACACTGCAGGAAAGCAGATGCACTAGATACACTGGTTTACAGTAGAAAGAAACTATATCTTTCTTTTGTTTTTACTGTCAGGAAGAAAAACTCACTGAAAAAAATCATCTTACTTTTATAGTATACCATAATTGTTGTATAATTATGGTATATAATATACCACTGGTATGTGTGTATATATATACCTATAATATACCACTGTTGTTTTTTTTATCTTCTAGGAAATAGAAGCATATGTAAATAAAATAAATCAAACTTTGAGCACGTCAGCATAAGAATTGAAGTAAAAAATAAATATAGCAACAATTGAAATTCAGATTAGAAATTTCAATGACACTTTTTCAAATTGTATATGGGGAGACTGGCACTAATAGGCCTCAAACAGATGGGGTTGTTTGATTTTAAATTAATCTGAAAATAGCTAATTATCATAAACACAGAATTATTGACGATTAAATATCACAGATGTGACACCTGCTAATCAGAACTGATTAACACTTATCAATGGACAAAATGTTGATTGAACATAACCACCTCTTCCTTATATAGTCATGTATATATAAGCATCTAGCTAGTCAAAATCAGGGGGGATTGCATGGTTTATTGAAGTTGAAGAAAAACAATTTCATATTCACCGAAATCATGAACTGAATGGTCCTAATTGTACAGGAAAAGCATCTACCCAATCAGTGAATGTCATGTTAAGGTCACTATGGTTGCTATACTAGACTGACTGACTTCTAAAGATCTCTACCTAACCCCTAACAGCCCTTACATCCTGATTCTGTAAATCTGAATCCTCACACCTCCTCAATTTCTCTGATAGAATCACATCTCCCAACAGATTTGATTTAAAGAATTGGCCAGACTTGCTGGAGAAGGAAAACATCGAACAAATGCAGGTGTTACAGATTTGCCACACGTTCTGTATAATAGACCATTTTATCAGTAACGCCTTCAGCCTTCCCAGGTTAACTGCATTCTGCCTCTGTGCCAGGCACTGTGCTGTCATGCCTGAGCTATAGAAGAATAGAGAAGATACATTTCTGTCTTCCCTGTATTTTTAAATAAAGACATGAACATATTCTAACATTTTTAAAAGGCTACATTTCAAATGGATGAACAACTTTGGCCATTGTAATGGAGAGATATTTCTTCTTAATGTGATGTGATGTAATTCATGATGCTTCAAGAAAATGCTCACTGTTTACTTGTAAAAGAGCTTTAAAAATTGATTTATTTCCATATGTGAAACAAACCACAAACTAAAGCCATGTGCTTCCTTCTGTATGCTGCTGTTTCCTGATGAACTGAGAGTACAGACTGTATGATACAGGAACAGAGTCCATTCTTAATGGTCTTCCATCCAGCGAAACTACTAAAATTTTAGTGCATAGTAACTGCAAAATTTGTAACTGTGGTTAGAATGAAGAAAAGCAGTTTATCAGGAAGACCAGGCAGATCTGAACATGATAGGTTAGACAACTGAGGCTTGATTTTGCTGGGTGCATGCCGTTTTTGTCTCCAATTTTTATATTTAAAAAACAATTCACTTACCAGAAATGTCTGAATGACGAAACTTAGTTGGTTATGTAGAACCAGCAGAACTATATACGGCAAAAAGCTGATCATGTACACTAGACTGGTGCAAAGGGCGGCAGTGCTTGCTTGGCTGAAAAATGCGCTCAAGAAGTAACTCAGCATGACAAGGGACACCCCAAAATCCAAAAGAAAGAGAAAAATAATAAAAGCATTGCTGTGCACAAAAATGCCACTTGTTTTCAGAATGACTGCCAAGGCAACACTGCCAAGAGCCAGCATGGCCATATTCTCCAGGAACCAGGCCAGGAAATGGGTCGTCGGATGCACTCCCACCATCCTCATGTACTGTTGAGAGAAGGGCAATCCAACGTTAACTCAGCAGTGGTGCTGCAAAGAGAGATCGGCTCACAGCAGAGAGAACACCCGTCCCTGGAAAGGGAAACCAGCATGTAGCTGACTAGGCAATCCACTAGGGACCATTGCATGTTTGCCCATTCACGTAGAGAGAACTGAGACGGTTATTGTGATTAGTAGCCAGTGAACCTGCTCTGATTCACAGTAGCGCGAGGGACAAAAGAAGGAAACACTATCAGGTCCTGTGCCATCCGCACCAGGGACCTCATAAAAAGACGAGAAAGGGCAGCATTGTAGAAAGCAGTGTTTATTCATGTTCTACCATGAATGGGAGGGATGAGAAAAGAGTATTACCTATGAAATACTAAGGTTTGACTTATGATGCTATAAAAACTGCATTAGGGACAGGTTTGCATAACAGATTAAAGTAAGTTCTGTCAATAAGCTGTACATCTATAAAAAGTTGAATTGGGAAAATGTGTGCAATAGCTATATTTATAAAATAAATAGCTATATTTATAACAACCACCACCATTAACTGCTGAGACTGTTTAAGTAGAACCATAGAGGAGCCGGTGCCTTGTCTTGGAGATTTCAGGTCTTGTTTGGTGAGACATACAATGAATTGGCCTTCTGTCTTATATAATGTTTCTGTTCTAGCTCCTGATTCTTGGTGTATTTCCTGTGACTGTGAAAGCTTACAAGCAGCCACTCAAGGCATAACTATCCGTCTCTATTTGCCTGGAGCACCAGGAGGAGGAGGAAGGTCGGCTAGAAGGAGAGCATGGGGTGTGTGGCTAAGTACCTCCATGAACAATTGCCTCCTAACATATTTTTGCCAAATTCAAAGAAAAATCCTGACTGACGTGGGAGAGATGCAGAACAGAATTTCAAATTCTCATGGAATCAAAGTTTCCTGAAATAATGGAGGCTGGAAAAACCCATAACTATTGCCCGAAGGTAATCTTTAAAGCTTAAACCAAAAATATCCCTGATGTTTTCAAGAACTAAATAATAATTTAGGTTAAGTAAGAAAATATGTCTGCCTTGAGATTATGCTTCTTAAAAAATCTGTATATGTGGAATCAACTTGACAACAGTAACATGAAAAATTATATAGGAAACTGAAGGGGTAGTGATTTTATCTCAATGTGGGAGGAACAACTCAGGAAAGGAGGTGAGAACCTTAAACATGTAATCAGTATCACTGAATTGTAAATACAGAAACTTGATGATTTTACTCTGTATATCCTCAGCAACAATACAAAATAAAATAAAATATCAACAATCCTATAAAGCAAAATATTTTTTTCCCTGAGACAGGAGCTCAGATAGAGCCAAAACCCTAGCAGAGAACAGGGAAAAACAAAACAGTAAGTAAAGAGAAATGATTGATATCCAAATTCCCAAACTACTGCTCTTCATTTTCAAGACCAGCTAAGTTTAAGGGTACTTACCTCTTCAATCTGTATCTCCCGCTCATAAGCCAGCTTTCGAACCATGCTGGCCACAGAAACCACCCAGGTTAGCATCATTATCAGTGGAAAGAAGAAGCCAACGTTGTTCAAGAATCTGAAAGCACATGATTTCAGTCAGCATCCCAAAGCAAGTAAAGTGATGTGATTCACAGTCATACTCATGACAAATACTACACTTGCACATGCTACTGAGCAATTTCTTGCAAAGAACAAAGTGCTTTAAAAAATAATACCTGCCGGCGTAATGAGTTATGCATTCAGCCACTAACTGACTTCAAGGCCAGCCGTTCAAGCTCACCAACCCCTCCCTCCAAAGGGGGAAAGATGAGATTTTCTAATCCTGTAAAGATTTACAGCCTCAGAAACCCAAAAGAGCAATGTCCCTTAGGGTTTCTAAGAAACAAAATTGACTTAATGGCAGTGGGTTTGGTTTGGCTTGCTTTGCTTTGCTTTCGTCTGGTCTGGTCTGGTCTAGTCTGGTTTGATTTGGTTTGGTTTAGTTTGGGGCCGCCAAAAGTAAAAGCCATATTGAAGAAAAGGTAATCTAGGAATGGTCCAAAGGTAAAAGGATTCCACCTTCTAGTACTGGGGAAAGGGAGCAGCAACATATAAGTCAATTAAACAATATAAGGAAAATAGATATATAATACAATGTCAGGAGATGATAACAGCTAGGTAGAAAAGTGAAGTATATTCAGAGATAGGGATAAAAGAGAGGTTAGCTGAAATATCTATGACAGAAATATTGGTGCATAAAACAGGATGAATGAATAAATGAATCATGTAGATATTAGAAAGGTGACCACTTCCTACAGAAAAAGAAAGTGTAAAGACCTAAGACAGTAATGGCATTTTCAGGAGTGGCCCTGGACCTTACAGGCTAAATAAGAGATGGATCAGAGGGTTAGCAAGGAGTCAGATTGTGGAAGGACTTTGTGTGATGGGGTAATTAGTAATTTATTCAAAGATAAAGCAGATAGAACTTTCAAAGGTAGAAGAAATCAGAGAGATGACTGACATGATCAGCTGTGTGTTCATTTAAACACACACCACCCCCAAGAACAACCCTAAATGTGATGTAGACATTGGAGTTGATATTGGGAACCCTGTCAGGAGACTAGAATTTTAAAAATAATTTTGGCAGTCCATGGTACTTTCAATATTCATCTCCAGCACCAGAGAGCTCTTTACAGGCAAGAATAGCCAGACTTCGTCATACATGCTTTGGACATGTCAAGAGAAACCAGTCCCTAGTGAAGGATGTGATGCTTGGCAAAATGCCAGACCGGGAAAAGGGGGACGGCCCTCGAGGAGATGGATGGACACAGGGGCAGCAACGCTAGATCAAGCACAGGAACAATGGTGGGAGGCTCGCACAGGACTGCGCAGTGTTTTGTGCTGCTAAGTATGCATATATTGGGTTGCTGGGGATCAGAACTGGCCCAATGGCACCTAACAACAACAGCAAGGCTAGTTTCTCCCAGAGGTGGGGAAGCTGAAACGTCTATTTGTTCATGAAAATAGAAATATTCGTTACTTAACGGTATTGGAAGATATGGTTACTGAACTCCAGTCACGGAATAATTTAAGTCTTACCAAACAGCAAATTAATATCATGAACCAAAATCATCTAAGGCTCAATTTTAAGCCATGGCTGCAGAAGTCACCTGGGGTCAGAGTTCAGGGACTGTGTGTCTGAGGTGTTCTCTGCACCCCTTGAGTATAACAAAAAAGTCATGTCTAAACTTATATTTGGATAAACCCAACTTTGAAACTTTTGAGGAAACTAATCCAGGCCTGCAAGGATTCCTAAAGTGTATGCACCTATCTGATTGAAAATATTTGTAGAATCCATAAAATAAGACGTTGGATGTGAGAAAGTATAACACATGACTACATATTTCAGGATGTTCCTTATTATCTCATGGGAACCAATCAATATCAGTAAAAGGAAAGAAAAGGATATTTTCTGATGTTGGTAAATGTTCAGGAGAGACTTCCAAGTCTTTGAAAAAGCTATCAACATGATTTACGTACGAAGGAGTTGGAGTCTCCAGGTGCCAACAGTGAAGTGCTTGGCCACTGGCAGAAATATTGCTTCGTACTCAAAGACATGGCAAAAGAAAGCCTGGATTTTTTTCTTCTGAAAGATCAAAGCAACCGACAGCCCGATGGGGCACAGTTCTCCTCCGACACATATGGGGTCATCATAGACTCCATGGCAGTCAGGATTGACTTGGTTTGTGGTTTTCACCCATGAGTTACATAAGAAGGTACGTGATTACAGTAGCAAGAAAGATAGTTATCATCTGAAGATCTCAAAAGGTGCCATCAAAAAATATACTTCTTGAAGGCTAGGAACATCATTTGAATCCTGCTGGGGGATCAGAAGCCTCTCCGAACCCTTACTCTGTTTCAAGGAAAAACAAAGGGAGGGCTATGTGAAGAATCCACATATTTACAGAAAGCATTCTGTCTCTGTAGCAAAGGAAGGGAAATCCTTCGATCTGTATAGTTCTTACCTCATCTGGCCTCCACCAACAAATCCTCTTACAAATAACTGATCAGTAAGGTTCAATGCATGCAACATGAATAAGAAAAATATTGCAAGTTCTGGCAAGAAGGAAAGGTGATTAAAAGACATACAATTATTAGTAAATGAAGTGAAGAATGCTTTACAAAAAGAGGAGATAAAAGCTGTAAATATTTGCTTTTGCCACCAACTAATAAGTCCATTACCTCTATAAAATATTGTAAAGCAGAAATGTTAGAATATGGAATTTATGGTAGAGATTGCAAGGTAAAAAGAATGTATGTTTATATTTCATACATATAACTAATTTCATCTATATGAAAACTTATATGGTACATTGAATAGAAATATCTGGAAAAATTCTTCAGAAAAGTTTAAAATAAAAGTACAGGTGATGACATATTAACAAATAGATATGTCAAGAAAAGAAAGTAGATGATGGTGAATAAAAAGGAAAACAGCAGAGGTCATCATTTTAACATCATACAAGATAGAACAGGAAGACACTAAAACCCCCACAGTGGCCTTATAAACAACATTATAATAAATGAAGAAAAGTTGAAATTGCAAACAAAGCCAGTCTACTAGAATCAATAATGCTATGGATGCAGCAGTCCAGGAAACAAACGATGTACTGCACTGGGAAAATCTGCTGAACAAAGCGTCCTCAAAAGTTTTCAGATGCGTGGATGTCATTGACATGATTAAGGCTCCTCCCACTCAAGTCCTGAGCTTGTCAATTCCTTCATCTGCACGAGGAGAAAGAAAGGAAGGCAATATGGAAAAGAGAAATGAAAAAGGAAGATAAGAAAATGATCTTATTAGAACTGCAGTGCTGGCAAGGAACATTGGATATGGACTGCTAAAAGAATAAACAGATCAATCTTACAAGAAACAAAACTAGGATGTTTCTTAACATCAAGAATGGCATGACTTTGATTCACACACTTTGCATGGGAAAGACCAGTCACTAGGAAAATATGTATATTTCAAAGAGAGTCAAATGAAAACATGATAACCCATCAGTAAGATGGATCACACATAGTTGCCACAATGATCTCAAATGTATCAACAATCACGAGGATAATAACGACCCAGGCAATGTTTCATTCTGTTGACTAACAGATGGCGCGCAACACAATAGGTGGTAATGAAAACAGCATTTCCAAGCACCAATACGCAAAGGAAAAGCAAGAAGAAGAAGCAAAGACACAATAATCCTCTCAGAGAGGGAGCTCTTCTCTTTAGTTGGTGATAGGAATACAGATTTTTAGCCTCATAAATGATCCGAATGGAAAAGGAATGGGACAAGACTACTCTCATAAAGAGTTGCAATCTTGGAAACCACCAGGGGACAGTTCTACTCAGTCTTCTTTAAATTACAAGAAACTACATTTCTCTTCTTTGTGTTCTTTAGAACATCACTACCTAACTAAGACAAATAGCTTTTTTTAAAATGCTATCCAAAGTACCTTAATTGGAATTTATCTTATAATAAGGAAATAATAACTTTTTAAGCTTAAAATTCATCTCTGAAAAATAAGTTTAACTTACACAGCAACACACAAGCCACTGCACTACAAGAAAATGACCCATCAATGATGAACTAGACCAATAGCATCATAAAAAGCTGATTTATCCATGTATTTAAAGCAAGCAATTTTTTCCCACAATGCCTAGATACTGACGTTAGTTATAAAGTATTTTAACAGCTTAATTGCCATACAGTTCTTATATCATACAATTCAATAGTTCGATCATTTTGAGAAAAGATATACCATCATCACCAGAATCCATTTTAGAACATTTTCTTCTTTCTTGTACTCGTTGCTATTAGCTCCTCTTTTCCCTCCAACTTCCCGTCATATCCTCAAGAAACCATTAATCCAGTGTTTCTCTCTATGATTCACCTGTCCTGGAGCTCATATTCAGAAAAACATACCAACCCCCCACCCCCCCCAAAAATAACAAAATGAAGCAGAGAAAAAACACAACCAAAAAGAAAGCAGAAAATCCTAAAAGACAGGATCAAATGATAAGCTGTTAACTGTTCACTTACCTTCACCTACAATAGTCCACTTCCCCAATGCACTCTGCATGATAGCAAGACCGTTCCCATCTCAGTCTACAGTCAGAGGGGACTCGGGAGCAGAGGCTAATCCACATTGATTGCCTCCTCACATAAGATCTTTTTAAATGATACATTGTCGAGAACAGTTTGCTGGCCTTTGTAAATACCAGCTCTAAGAAAAATGCATTTAGAGCAGATAATCACTGGTTAAAAATATCAAAATCCAAAACAGTATTTGGGAGGAAGGGCGAAAAATGTTCACTTTGTATAAAAGGACATTACTAGGGTTACTCAAGAATTACAAAGTGAATGAAAATGACACTTTGACTTCTTTATTCCTGACCCTTTTTTTGGTCTCCACTGCATTGTAATATTCCAAGGTTACCAGTTAGGTCACCAGCCTCGCACAGAAAGAAACTTCTTTCTGTAATAGCACCATCTTCCTCATCAAAAATATTTGCATTTTTATAAATAGGCAGAAAACACAAGATATCAAGATCTATGCATCTTCATTTATTTGACATGACTTTTAATCATCTGTGCGGCAGTCCAGATCTGCACAATGGCCCAGTATATCAATCAGGGCTGTTATCGGCAATATTTCACTGCAGGATAATTGTCACATCCTCCTAATAGATGACTCAGGACTGTCTCCTTAACACACCATTTGCAGACACTTGCATTTTACTGTGCCTTAGAGAGAAAACAATAAAGCGGTACCATCATCGTCAGTACCACGGGTCTGCGAACCCCCTCGGCCTTTGTCAGACACGAAAGAACAGTGTGCGCCACGATGTTCGTGGCCATGAAGAAACAAAAGACAGGAGGACTCAATCACAACTGCCCAGGTCAACGCTTCCATGGGATTTCAAGGACTTGCCCCATCTAAGCCTACCCAGATGTGCAAGCGCATCCTGTCTTCCTCTCCAACACTCACCAAGCAACGCCAGCGGACCTCTTCCTCCAATTAGCAAACACCCCCGACTCACCTGTCCTCCCTGTGCCTTCTCTGGTCAGAATGCTTTCTTCAGGTCAGTGCTCCCAGATGCCCCAGCCTTTACCTGAACTTTAACTTCAGTCTAAACCTACAGACACCCTCAGTCGAATCACACGACGTAACACGTAATATTCGCTACTTACTTTACCTCTACAAGGTTTCTGTGGAATCCATCCCATCTCTGCCCAGCACACAGCACAAAATTGAAACGCAGTGTTTAGTTCTTAAAGATTTAAACCAAAGAAGTAACGTTCCCCTATTACTCTTCCTCCATGAATACAAAATAGTGACTCTTCCGTATGTAAAATAATGAATCTCACAGAACAAAAAGAAGGAACTGATTTTTGTTTTATGGTGAATATTCCGCTGAATGACTCCCAAACCAAAAGACCAAACCCACTGCCATGGACTTGATTCAGACTCAAAGTAACCAGGTAAGACACCGTAAAAATTCCCCACACAATTCCCAATGCTATAAATCACTATGGGAGCAGCTTCATCTTCTTCTCATCGAATGTCTGGTAGGTTTGAACTGCCAACCTTGCATTTAGCAGCCCAATGCTTAAATCACTGTGCAACCAGAGTTTTAGTGGATGACTACAGAAAACCCCCAAACTCTCTTTACTTTTGCAAGTGCAAAATCCCTTCCCACTGCAAGCGGAAATTTCAAGAAAACTCCGCTCTAGCCCCAAGTACTCACAAGTCACTGGTGTGGCAGGGGTACGGGATTGCCTGTGCCTGGGTTGCTGGTTCTAGAGCATCCCACCCTGTCTGCACTGAGATGATGGCTCGCTCAATCATGTCTTGCAACGGGACAAAGATGTAGTTGTATTTGAACCCGCCAGCTGGTAGAGTCTGTGGATGGAACTTCCAAAATGGATTTTTCACCATATCTGTTCTCATGCTGTATAAGATACTGGTTCGAATTGTATATGTGACATGAGGCGGCAGTTTCAGAGACTCTGGCGGGGAATTCTTGTTGGTGAAAGAATTTGTGAATATAATACCTAGAGGTAGAAAGGAAAAAATAAAGGATTATAATGTAAGGAGGGGCTCACACAATGCCAGCCTTATAGTAGAACTGGAAGGACCATCATCACAGCCCGCTTCTCTTGCAGAAGGACCCCTGAAGCCCAAAGTGCTAAAGCGGTTTAAATGAGGCAAGCAATTCGTGGTAAGTAAGAACCAAGATTTCCTAATGTTCAATGTTTTTATTTATTTTAACTAACTCAATGCAGTATCAGCAATACATAGAAGTTATTTGTTTTGTACTGCTGTAGTACTTATAGAATTGTACTAGACTGCTCTAAGAATTTTTTCTCAAGTTCAAGGTGTATCCCTATGACTGCATCTGAGATTATAGATTATTCAAAAAATTTAAATGAATTCCTTGAATTTCACAAAAGAAGCCTCAAAAATGTTTTCTTGATTGTGACTCGAAAAGAATGAGGACAGGTCTTTTTTTTTTTTTTAAACACACACACGCATCTTGACTAGCTGACTAATTAATGGGCGAAGTTGTGTTGTCCATTACTTTGTCTGCTCTTTTCCTTTTTCTCAAGCTATCAAATACTCTGATTAAAAACAAAAAAATGAGAGAGGAAACTGTTTGCTTTCTGAACCATTCAAACAGACTTGTAGGGAGAAATATGA